TAAGTGTAGAGCCACAATTACATTTACATTTAGAGATAGCTCGATGTATTCCGCTCAGGGCGACGGTTAATTTTCTAACTGTCAGTGCAATTAAGCCTTGTGTTCACTGAGTAGTAGAAAGCAGAAGAGAGGCCCCGTGAAATCCTCACTTCGTCGTGAACCTATTTATCTAACGGTGTCTAGACAGCTGCTGTATTACTTTCATTACTTAACATTTCACTGTAATCTGATAACTTCTATAACCCTTTTAGGCATCATAATACAACCACAGAGCTTTCCAGAATATCGATCAGAACCTTCACAATGCGAAATGGATCCCACCAGTGCAACAATCATTTTGACTGTCAATAAGCTACTCACAGCTGCCAGTGATATACTAGCTTATTGCATCCTTTTCCAAAGAAGAAACAATGATATTGTGTGATTTCTACCTACCAGATAGTAACTAAACGTCCTTCTAATTTGTTGACATCGTTCATTTTCGTGCCAACGGTTACCAATAGTAATTGTCATATTGGTGCATTCAAACACACATTTTTAGGTTAAGATGAGAGAAAATACCCATCTCCACGCAATTCTAATCACGTCCATGCAGCCAATCGGATAGCTTCGCCATCTTGAATTCACACCGTTTGCTTTGCCACTAGTGGCCAGCCCAGACGCGCTGCTAAGAACTGATCGCTCCGTTGGTCTCCAAGGCGGAGGCGTTGTACTAGATGTGAGCTGTAACTTAGATGTGTTGAGGACCTGCACATTTCAGTCGTCGGATCAGACTTTTGGAGCTCTATCGGCTGTTTTATGCACTTCAGCTACCCAGTTTACAGTTATAGTGATATACAGAAGTACCGGAAGTTCTTTCAGGGGATACTTGACTTTATTCGCACTCCGTCTGCGAATAAGTGTTTAGTTCTAGGGGCTTTCAACCTCCCGGAAGTCGGTTGGGCCCATCTTTCTTGCAATTCGGCATTAGGAGCATTCGGTGCAGACTTCCTTGAACTGACTCTTCAAGTGCCTTTGCACCAGTTCGTTGACTTTCCCATTAGGTATATGGACAACCAAATACCATCTACTTTGGATTTGACTTTCGCTAAGTCCTTCGACTTCCTGACTGACGTTTCATACAATGCACCTTTAGGATCCTGCGATCACGCATGCATATCTTTTTGATGTGCTCTTTCAAGGCACCAAGAGACCGCTGTTGAACTACTTTCGAATATTTGGCGCGCGGACTTTAGTGCAATGCGAAGTAAGGCTTCAGTTCTGAACGGTGAGATCTCGATGGTTGACTCTGTCCATGGGCTAACTGCAGTTAGCCTGGGATAAATTTAAGGCATATCTTACGGAGGTTTCCACTACCTACATTCCACTCATTAGGAAAAGAGGGTTAAGGGCACAGCCTCCATAGATAGATACCAAAGAAAATACCTACTCAAGAAACGGTCTAGTTGCTGGCGAACCTACCAAGCAGCTCCATCAGCCAGCACCTATGATAGTTATGGAGAGATTAGAAATAAATGTAAGCAACATCTCAGAACTGCTCGTCTCCAATACGAGCAGGGTTTGGCGGACTCGGCCGCAGCTAAGCCCAAGAAGTTTTGCTTACGTTAAAAGGCGCAGCGGGGCAAAGCCGTCTATACCAGCGTTATTGCGAGCAGGTGGGACCCGTGCGCAAACTGACTCGGACAAGGCTTGTGTACTTAGTGATAAGTATACTAGGGTGTTTGCTCGAAAGACCTGTTTACCACAGGTTGTATTGGTTTCAAGGGTTCCAGAAGATACTTGCTGAGCTGAGTTTAACATAGCGGAGGCTCATGTCTTCGTGCTACTGCAAGGCATTAATCCCTCTAAAGCTTCCGGTCCCGATTCAATTCATCCGAAGCTGTTGCATGAATTGGCCGCCGGGCTGAGTAATCCTCACATGCGTGTTCACAATGTCAATTAGCATCTGTATCTTACCTTCGGAATGAAAGGAAGCAATTATCAGTCCCATTGTTAAGGGCAGTGACATCGCTCTGCTCACGAATTACCGGCCTGTCAGTTTGACAAGCGTAGTACTCAAGTTGTTTGAAAAGCTGATAAAGGATTCGGTGGAGAACCGCCTGAATTACTTTAACTTCTCGTTGTTGCGCAACATGGATTCCGCAAGGGATTTTTATGACCGACTAATCTACTTGTAGCTCGTGAAAGCTGGACCGAAGTGGTAGACGGTGGCCACGCTGTAGACGTAGATGGTTGATGCCCATGAATAGGACCAAGTGCTCTGTTCTCCAAATCGGAGCTGCTAGTCCTCCCACCAGATATGTTGTCCACGGCGATAAACTCCCCGTTTTCACTCAGCAGCTTGATTTAGGGGTCGTACATTCATCAGCACCTCACTCTAGTAAAAATTGGAAGAAGAATGCTTGTCGAGTGTTTTGTATAATAAATAAATAAATAGTTTATTCTCGAATTTGTCGAGACACACCAAGCAAGGCATGATCAATATTTACATGCAATATTGCTTCGCAACAAACATGTTGCTATGAGTGTAATCAGCAGTAAGCCGAAGATTGTACAGGCTGCGGAGATTGTGTAAGTAGTCCTAAGGGATAGAGTCTTCAATGAATGACGAAACGTAGAATTCTAGCGTGCGTAGTGTAAACAGTCAAGGCACTACATGTGTAATGAAGCCGATGCATATAGGATGGTATAACTTATTATGTGGCTGACCTGCCGCTCTTTCGGAGTCCTAACGGCCAATTTGTTTGTAAAGCTATTCTCAACATTCGTCCGACCCCACCTGGAATAGTGCATCCAGACTTGTCCACCATGTCTTATCCGAGACAAAAAGGACTTACTAAGGGTGATAACGGTGGGTATTTAGAGGGTTGCCTATTCCGGGAGCCCAGAGAGCGATTCCAGAAGACGGATCGAGTTGCAGGGAAACTTTTATTGGTTCAGCAAAAGATTCCCTGTTAGCTAGCTATAAACGAACGACACCGTGGACGCTCTAGCTAGGGGAACGGAGCAAACACAGCACACAGAGCAGTTGCGCGTTGCAACCGAAGCGAGCGCCAAGCAAAAATGGCGATGAGCAAGTAAAGCATTCGAACTCAGCAAGCAATTCAACAAACCACACCGGTTGCCTAAGTGTACAATTATAGAATTTTGGTTAGAATTTTACACAAGCAAACCGGGGAATCTCCAGACTGCTACATAGCCCTCTCCCAGAAGGGACTGTGTAAGCAGTCCTTCGATCTACGTGAGGACTGTCCGTCGCGGGCCAGCCTTCTGCGAGACCAGGTTGTGAAACCCGATGCAGCTGCTGGGGGAGAACCATGCAATCGGACCCTAGCGGGCTCCCACCCGTGTCCTCCCTACGGTGTCGAAACGGTAAAAAAACTGTTTGTGGGGGGACAGTTAGTAGAGTTCACGTGGGCGGTTGAACAGGAAGTTCGTTCCACTTGCAGTTGACGTGCGGAGATCCAGCGAAAGTGAAACCGAGGTGCAACCAACCGACGGTGTATATGGAAAGCAAAATGAAAAAACAGCATAAATGCATAGCAATACACAAAAGAGTGCAAAGCGAAAAACGTGCAAAGCTGTTTTTGGGTTTTCAAAAAGTTTTGCTCTTTTTTGGTAGTTTCAAAACGTTTTGGTCTTTTTTGTGGATTTTCAAAAACGTTTAGTAAGAGCAGAAAATTTCTAAGGCACGTTCTACGTAAAATAGTAAGTGCTGACAAAGTCTGAAAAACGAACTGGAGGCTTGAGTTTCCTACCGCGTCGATTGAGAGTAGGGCGGGTAGGAGTGCTGTCGGTTGTGTTTGTCGGTTCTGCTGGAGCGGGCTGACTCGTCTGCGTTTGCGGTGCCGGCTGTGATGGCACGGGCTGTGAAGGTGCTTGTTGCACCGGCGAGTCAGACTTGTCGAGGAATGCTGGCTTGAGTCGATCGACGTTGATCGTTTCAGCCTTACCATTGTAGTCAACGGTAAACGTCTTGTCGCTTCTGCGTACAACACGGTACGGACCAGAATAAGGAGGTTGAAGTGGTCGGCGTACGCTGTCAGTGCGAACGAACACGTGCGTGCAAGTAGTTAAGCGTTCGTCCACGTTGGTACGCAAGCTCTGTGCTCTGGGTTGCACAGGCTGAAGCTGTCGCATGTGATGAGATAGGCGAGCTGCGTAGTCGCCATAGTCGAAAGTTGTTGGCGCTTTTGGTGAGACGAGTTCACCAGGTAAGCGTTGTGTGCATCCAAAGACTAGCGACGATGGAGTGGCTTGCAAATCCGCTTTAATCGTGTTTCTTATGCCTAAGAGAACGAGCGGAAGTGCTTCGTGCCAGGATGTGCTAGATTGGGCACAGAGTGAGGCTTTGAGTTGCCGGTGGAACCTTTCTACCATCCCATTAGCTGCAGGATGGTATGCGGTGGTTCGATTATGTTGGCAACCAAGAACGTCGAGCAGTTTGCTGAAGGATCCGTCGAAGTGTGATCCTCTGTCGGTGATGACTACGCTTGGGCAACCGAATTGAGCTACCCAGCGTTCTAAGAAAGCTTGCGCAACTGTCTCAGATGAGCAGTTGACTAACGGAATCGCCTCTGGCCAACGAGTGAATCGGTCGACACAGGTGAGTAGGTACACGTAGCCTTTGCATGGAGGCAAAGGTCCGACCAGGTCGACATGGACGTGTGCAAAACGAGCGTCAGGAGCGGGAAAGACGCCAAGTGGGCTTTTGGTGTGTCTGTAGACCTTGGCGCGCTGACACTCTAAGCATGCGCGTGCCCAAAGGCGGACATCGCGATTGACGTTGGGCCATATGAAGCGTTCCGTTACGAGCTTCTGCGAAGCACGTATGCCGGGATGAGACAGGTTGTGTAAAGCATTGAAAACTAGTCGACGCATTGAGGTAGGAACTACAGGTCGGGGAGAAGTTTGTGAGACGTCACAAAGAATGGTCCCCTCAGATGAAGCTAGTGGGACTTCACATAGTTTCAACGAGGTGTGGCGTCGTAGCTTGTCGATGTCGGGATCAGCTTGTTGGGCAGCAGCCATAGCGGCTAGATCAATGTTGGTGCCAGGCGATAAGCTGATCTGTTGAATGCGTGAAAGCGCATCAGCGACGGGATTGAGAGCACCTGAGACATGACGTACGTCTGTCGTAAACTGAGAAACGTAGTCTAGGTGTCTAGTTTCCCGCGGAGAATACTTGTCTGTTGCGCCATTAATTGCGTAGATCAATGGCTTGTGGTCAGTGAAGACTGTAAAATGTCGACCTTCGAGGTAGTGACGGAAATGTCGGATACCTAGGTAGATAGCTAACAGTTCCCTACCGAAGGTGCTGTAACGCGATTCGGCAGGTTGTAAACGTTTCGAGAAGAAACCTAGAGGTATCCATCGATGGTCGATGAGTTGTTGAAGAACTGCACCGACGGCAGTGTCGGAAGCGTCAGTCGTCAGGGAGAGTGGTGCAGACGTGTCTGGATGGGCGAGAAGCGCTATGTTGGAGATAGCGTCTTTGAGCTTCTCGAAAGACAGTCTAGCGTCGTCTGTAAAATGAAAAGACCGTTGGTTACCGCGGAGCAAGTCAGTCATTGGTTGAACAATGCTCGCGCAGTTAGGAATAAAACGTCTATAATAGTTAACCAGGCCAAGAAATCGGCGTAACTGCTTGAAGGAACTGGGAGCAGGATAGTCCTTCAGTGCCTGGATTTTGTCTGGCAGAGCTTCAATACCAGACGCGGATATGCGGTGGCCAAGAAAGTCGATGGAGCTTTGGCCAAGCTCGCATTTATCGGGGTTGACGGTAACCCCATGCTGGGTTAAGCGTTGGAAGAGAGCGTCAAGGTGATGAAGATGTTCGTCATTAGAAGAGCTGGCGATAAGAATGTCATCTAGATAAGGATAAACGCCTTCGAGTCCTCGCGTTACCTCATGAATGAAACGCTGAAAAGTTTGGGCAGCGTTGCTGAGGCCGAAAGGCATTCTGAGGTACTCGAATAGGCCAAATGGCGTAATGACTGCTGTTTTAGCGATGTCGTCTGGCGCCACAGGTATCTGATGGTAGGCGCGAACTAAGTCGACTTTGCTGAAGATAGACTTGCCAGCTAGAGCTGAGGTCAAGTCGTGCATGTGCGGGATAGGGTATTTATCCGGGACGGTAACTTTGTTAAGTGCCCTGTAGTCACCACAAGGGCGCCAGTCACCGGATTTCTTCGGCACCATGTGTAATGGTGATGCCCATGGACTTTTAGACGGGCGGATGATTCCCAGTTCGAGCATTTGCTCGAATTCCGCCTTAGCAGCTTTGAGCTTGTCCGGGGCTAATCGGCGAGGGCGGGCCGAAACAGGTGGGCCCTTAGTGCAAATGTAATGCATGACGTTCGACGTCACAGGAGGCAAGTCGTTCAGGACGCGAACGAGTTTAGGGTGCCTGCTGAAAAGTTCTAGAAAAGGCTGTGAAGCTTGAGGTAGGACACGAATGGGAGTGATAGCAGCCACGTTGGCGCTGGTCCCGATAATACTGAGCTGTGTCCTGGAGTCGATAAGCTTCTTCCTTTTAGCGTCGACGATGAGGTCGAAGCGTTGGAGAAAGTCTATGCCTATGATAGCGAAAGGCACGGCAGCGATTATGAAAGGCCAACGAAAGGTTCGCCGGAGGCCTAAATTGAGCGTTAACAGCTTTTCGCCGAAAGTTGCGATTGGTGTGCCATTGGCGGCACGCAGCTTGGTCGGCGATGGTGAGACGACCTCATCTGAGCTACGGGGTATGACGCTAACTTCGGCACCAGTGTCGACTAGAAAGTCGGTGCCGGAAGTTAAATCCCTGACGCGGATGAGGCGACTTTGGTGTTGGCCAGTCGCGTCCGTCGCCGTTACGGACCGGCCGGGCAGTTTCCCTGCTTCTCGGCAAAGGTGCAAGGTTTGACACATTTACGAGCTGCGGTACCAAAACGTTGATGGTACCAACAGCTGGCCTGCCTGTTTCTAGACTTAGAACGTTTGCAGGGCGATGTTGAGCGGCTAGGACGACGAGGGTTCATAGTAAGCTGTTGCACCTGGCGACTAAGTGTCGCAACTTGTGTTTGGAGGGCTTCTATAGTTGACTGTAAGCCAGTGATAGAAGTGCCCTGGGACGCGACGGCATGGACCTTGCTGGCGTTGGCTTGTGGCTGTGCTCGTTCAATAACTCGATCGGCTAAGTCTGCTAGTTGAGTGAGCGAAACGGAGCTCACTGTAGCGAGAATCGCTTGCGTGTTTTCCGGTAGCCGTTGTAGCCATAGTTCGCGAAGTAAAGTCTCATCCATGGTTGAGGAACCAAGGAGTTGCTGCATCTCCCGTAGCAGGGTTGAGGGCAGTTTGTCGCCCAGCTGCAGATCCCTGAAAAGCTGCTGCAGGCGAACTTTCTCAGAGGGCATAACACGCTTAATCGTGGCTTCCTTGAGAGCCTCATAGCGGTTTTCGGTCTGAGAAATGATGACGTCACGAACCTGCATTGATATCTCCTTGGGGAGATAGGACAGGAGCTTGCAGTACTTCGCATAGTCGGAAGTGATTCTGTGGTTATAAAACTCGGCCTCAAGATGAGCGAACCACAAAACAGGATCCATGTCCCAAAAAGGTGGCACAGAGAGAGATACAACGCTTAGTAGAGACTCTACCTTATGGTCTACAGATTCCATGGCTTAAAAAATGATGCAAAAAATAGGCTACCGTATGCAAAAATAAACCGGAAAATATGAAAAATAAATGGAACGAGCTCACCGGAGAAAAGTTCGAAATATCCGGCGTTGAGATTGTTCCGGATCCGGGGTCACCAATTTAGAGGGTTGCCTATTCCGGGAGCCCAGAGCGCGATTCCAGAAGACGGATCGAGTTGCAGGGAAACTTTTATTGGTTCAGCAAAAGATTCCCTGTTAGCTAGCTATAAACGAACGACACCGTGGACGCTCTAGCTAGGGGAACGGAGCAAGCACAGCACACAGAGCAGTTGCGCGTTGCAACCGAAGCGAGCGCCAAGCAAAAATGGCGATGAGCAAGTAAAGCATTCGAACTCAGCAAGCAGTTCAACAAACCACACCGGTTGCCTAAGTGTACAATTATAGAATTTTGGTTAGAATTTTACACAAGCAAACCGGGGAATCTCCAGACTGCTACAAGTACTCGGTTAGTACAGGGTCTACGTGGACGGACGTATCCTGCACGCTTCCTTAGTTTGGTGATGTACTCAATGCCCTACAGAAGTATAAGAGAAGACCCTGATTCTCATCGTATTTTGACAGGTAGGATCTGCCCGGACTTGTCAGGGCTATTTAATCCCACTACGCTACCTAATTTCTGCGGTCACCCACTGACACCTCATAAACCACGTCTGATAGGATTAGGACGGAAACTCGTCTGTCGCGCCGAGGTGTAGATCGCTGGAATTTGCTTCCAGCTCACGGGGTTAGGGAACCTACGGTTAATGCTTTTGTGCGCCAGCTCGATGCTCTTGAGTGGCAACACCAAACCTTTCCTTCTTCTTAACTGACTCACCTTTACTTATTAGTTTCTCTTTTAGCGCCTCAAATATCTTGGTATTCCACTTGCTTAACTCTTCCCACTTTCTCTTTTGCCTTCTGAGGTTACTCTTTTCTCCTTCTTACTTCACGTAACCATCATCATCAACAGCAGTACATCAGCCATTTGAACTGATGCTTCGCTGCCATACAACCATGTGGACCTATAAAATAAAGAACAAGAAGAGGGAGAGAAGGGGGACTTACCTGAAAACCTTAATGCCATAAGCAAACATTCAGGGTCAAGGCGCCTACACCTTGTGCTAACAGCTTTCCTTCACAAACAGCTGGCTATCATGCAACGATAAGGCGGCATCGGCGAGACAGCTTCCTTGCGGCTTTCACTGCCACGCGTCATAATCAGCCATTACCCCGCAGATAACGCAGCACCAAACACACTTTAAACAGACAATCCGATTAGGAGACGGCAGCAGACGTGCCACTGGTCTCGGTTGCGAGCCGTGTCCTGTAAAGTCTCGAGCCAAGCAAAAGGTGAGTCACGTGGACTCCAACCCGGAAGGCGAGACGGACCAACGGCACCTAGTTTGGTCGTCAGTGACTTTATTTCCCGCTGCCAAGTCAACTTCTGTCCACCTCGAGCCTTGCGCCATCCGACACCTGGTAGACTGAACAAGGCGCTCCTAGGTAAGCGGTGACCAGACGCGCGAACCACGTGTCCGAGCCAACGCAGCTTATTCAGTGTTATCTGTTGTTCTAGGGTGCAAGCATGATTATCACCACCTAGTACTCGCCTACGCACATCATCGTTGCGGACACGCTGGTGCCATCCGACACCAGCGATGCTTCATAGACAACGATGATCAAAGACTTGAAGGCGCCTCAGACCTTCAGACCAACGGGGCCAAGTCTCACTACCATACAGTAGAACGGCCCTCACTGCGGCCTTGTATACCCAGCCTTTCGGACGGAGGGAAACGCCCTTCTGTCGCCAAAGATGCCGCAGGTTCAAGAAGGCAGCTCCGGCTTTCGCAATGCGTGAGCTCACGTCAGTTTCTATGCGCCCATCATTGCTGATGCAGCTGCCAAGATAAGTGAATTGATCAACCACCTCAAGTTCTTCGTTAGCAAGTGGCTAGGGGTTATCAAGTGCTGGTGGTCCTGCAGCAACGCTTTGCACTTTGAAGGTGCGAAGTGCATACCAAATAATGGGACCACTCTGGACAGGATATTCAGGGATGATTGTGCCCCCCAACATCGTCGATAAGCTAAACGATATCGTCCGCATAATCTAGATCAACTAACCTTTCTCCAGGCAGCACTTCAACGTCTACATGGCGAGATTCCGCAAGGGAACACTCCACGATGGAATCCACGACGAAATTGAACCAAAACGGGGAAATCGGACAACCCTGACGAACGCCACTTGTAGTTGAAAAGCTATCCAATAGGACACCGAAGACCCTGACGCGGCCAGTAGGTTTCGAGTACAAAGCCCGAAGGATGTGCACATATTTCGTAGGAACACCTTTCGTGCAAGTAATTCGAACAGACTCGATCGATCGACTGAATCGAACGCATCCTTGAAATCGAGGAACACAGCTACTGTCGGTCTGCGGTATGCGCGGCGTTGCTTTAGCACCTGCCGCAAAGTAATTATGTCGTCTATACAGCCACGTCCTGGGCGAAAACCGGCCTGCCCTTCCCTAATCCGAGATTCCCGTTCTGCAGTGAGGCGACGAACGATAATCGAGGCCAGTAATTTTGTCACAACAGGCGTTAGGCTAATACCTCCGTAGTTCGCACAGTCTGTGCGACTGCCCTTCTTGTATATTGCCACTACAATTGATTCGCTCCAACTAGCTGGCACACTCTCTCCGTTCCAGACACGGTCGAATAGGGAGGTCAGTGCCTTGCAGAGGACCTCACCTCCATCCTTAAATAGTGCAGTTGGGAGGGAATCCGGGCCAGCGGCACGAAAAAACCTTGAGGGCTGTGATCGTGTTTCGGACCTCGGCCTCCGACGGAGGCTCTAACCTAACCGTCCATGGCACGTCCTGCATCACCTGGGTAGGAAGAGGTCCGGGAGCAGGGAGCCAGCTGAACTGATCTTCAGAGTGTTCTGCTTGACGAGCAATACGGCGCTCCTTATTGTGTACCAGCGCACCCGCGCTGTCTCTGATTGTCTCACTGACGCCTGTTTTCTGGGAACAGTGGTGCGGATTAACTGGAAGAGCTTGCGGTAATTGCCTACTGCTCCTGCCTCCTCCATTTCCTGAGCCCGACTGGTCCACCAGGCTTTCTTGTCAGCACGCA